CTAGTTTAAAGGTAACAGGGAAACCAACCTCCTCAGATCCTGATCTGGATCTGGATCTGGAGCTCAAAATGAGACCTATGGATCCGAGAATTTCCAGAACAAAATTGAAGCCCAAACTTCAAGATCCAAAATGAAGTATACCTTGCTCTTGGTAACGGAGTCGTTGACGTTGATGGCGGGGAAGAGCAGGGCGCCGCTGGCCTGCATCTGGTAGAGTCGCTTGACGCCGGTGGTGGTCTCCTCCGACACGCCGACGAGGCGTTCCTTCATCTTGCGGTACTTCTTGGGGTCGACCTTGAGCCCGTCGCGGATGATCCCCAGCACGATCTGGAACTCGGCGTTGTCCGTGGAGGCCGGATCGGGCAGCTTGCCGGTCTTCTCGTACTCTTCCTCCGCCTTGACGCCCTCGTGGATGAGGAGAGTGGCGTCACCGCCGTCGTCGACGATGAGGTCGGGGCCACCGTTGGGGCCCCAGTCGAGGCATCGCTCGGTGCACCACCAGTACTCGGCGAGGGTCTCTCCCTTCCAGGCGAAGACGGCGGCGGAGTCGCGGGCAATGGCGGCAGCGGCGTGGTCCTGGGTGGAGAAGATGTTGCAGGAGCACCACCGGACTTCAGCACCGAGGGCGGTGAGGGTCTCGATGAGGACGGCGGTCTGGATGGTCATGTGGAGGGAGCCGGAGATGCGGGCGCCGGCGAAAGGTTTGGCGGGGCCGAACTCGGCGCGGCACGCCATGAGGCCCGGCATCTCCACCTCCGCCAGCTCGATCTCGAGGCGGCCGAAGTCGGCCTGAGAAAGGTCCTTCACCTTGTACTCGCGTCCCGTCGACGTCTTCTCCACCAGCAGCGCCATTCTCCGATCGTTGGAACGAATCGAAGGAGTTGGGCAAGGAGAGGGAGGCGGAAAAGATGTGAGAGTAAGTAGCGAGGGGTTTAGGGGAATATATAGAGAAGCTGCGGGGCGAACGGACGGACGAGATGACAAAAGGCTGGAGATGACGAGAGTTGTGCAGTGGGCCCAACGGAAGAGATGGGCCAAATGGGATATGAAGTGACCGAGGAAAGCATTTGTTAACGTAACGTAAAGTGTGATGGACACGTGCATAGTGATGATATTGTCGACCCGCATCGAAGGGAGATGGATATTACGAGGGCCAGTTAGTTAAATTTTTTTAATATTCTTTAAATTTTAAATTTAAAAATTTTATATTAAATTTTATAATTATAAAAATAAAATATTTAACTTTATTTATTTAATATCGTTGGTAAAATGATAAAAAATTAGTATATATAAAAATAATAAAATAAAAAATAAAAAATAATTTTAATGTCCCAAATGAGGTATCTACATTGGCATCACTATGTAATGATAAATGACATCGATACAGATGCCAGAGTATTAGTATCCATGACATTTACGTAAAGCAATACCTTATATCTGCATTTATGTCGATGTAAATACAAAGTATTGGTGTATGTGGCTTTTATTTTATATTTATGTCAGCATCAATATATATGTAGAGAAGTGTTGATGTAGATATAGGGCGATGAAAAGGGGAAAGAATGATGAGAGATCAAGGAAAGGAAGAAGAAGGATTAGCATTGCTTTACATCTTGTCAGCATTGATGCATATGTCGAGTGGCACCGATGTAAATATAGAGCGTCGACATCTGCATTGGCATCGATGGTTTCTATTTTGTATCGCTCTGCATTTGCGTTGGCGCCAATATAAATGCAAAACCATAAAAATGAGAAAAAAAATGAGGGATCGAGAAAAGGAGGGAGAAGGATGAGCACTGTTCTACATTAGCGCCATCGTAGATGTTGAGCAGTGCCATTGTAGATGCAAAGCATTAGCATATGCTTCGGCATTTGCGGCTTTTGCTTTGCATCGCTTTGCATCTGCAATGAAAGAGGGAAGAAGGATTAGGGATCGGGAAAAGGAGGAAGAAGGATGAGTATCGCTCTACATCTGCATCAGCGCTAACACAGATGCAGGGCGATGTATAGTAGAGTAGCATCGCTCTGCATCTGCATTGACATAGCCATTGTCCTTGTTCTCTTCCTCCTCTCTCTTTGCCTCATCTCTCATCGTTGCTCCTCTTCCTCCTCCTCCCTCGCAAGAAATCATAGAAGTTCCTCAACTTCACCTCTAAGACTCCATCTAGCCCGTCTCCAATGACAACCTTATGTCGATCTCATTAACCATTATGTCTTTCTCATCGATCATTGTGTTGTTCTCGTTGACTACAACCACAACAGTCAATCGTGGCCCTCAATGGTATTGTTATCTCCCACCACCACAACTGGCGACTAATAAGAAAGAAAACGTAACTAGAACATTGAAAATTATCTTTTTGTCAATTGTTTTCGTATCATTCCTACATATGTTGTATTTTCTGTTAGTAAATCGACGACGTTAGAGTAAATGAAGTTTAATATTTTACTTCCATAACTATAGAAATTCTAACGTAAATATTTTAAATCTAGAGATTGGAATGCTAAAGAAGTCTAACTAGATGATGTAATATATAATTAGCCCACATTATCATTTGTGATTTTTTTTTCATAAGGTAAATGACGAAAATATAATTTGATTAAATTTTTTATTTTTTTAAAGTAAATGATGAAGATAAAATTTGATAAAGTAATTTTACAATGATTTGAAAAGATTATTACTCTATTATATAAATTAAAAAATGTATTTTTTAAAAATATCAAAAAAAAATTTCAGAATAGCACTAGAAGGCAAATAATATTTTTCAAATGATCAAAATATTATCCTATTAAAATATTTTTTTCATCAAAACATGATTAATCTAATTATAATGTCCTCGAACAGAATTATAATATGTATTTCATCATATCAATTACAGTATTTTTTTTTTGAAATAGGGTCATCATGTTTAATAGTATTTATTACATGATTTAATTAGTAAAAAAAATTCATCAATCTTAATTATTATACATTCTCATGTTCTTATTTGATTGAATTTCGAGTTACTATATAGTATCAAATTAAACACACTTAAATAAATATAATATTGTTAAAATTAGTTAAAAATAAATAAAACTAAATTGTATAGTGAAAAAATATATAAACTCACCTGTAATGTTTATTTTATGGGTACATATTGATGGATGACCAAACGCAATATTAGGTGGAGTGCAAGTCAATGGCAAAAAGTCAGTTGGTGAAGAAGCAACTAAGATGAAAGGTTACATCAATTAAGATCCACAAACATAAGCTGGTGTTGATGACAACTTGGAACTACTACACCTAACTTCGTCTTCTTCTCATTCTTCAGTTGGTGCTAAGCTTTTGACCCTCCCCTCACTACACCCACACCTACACCTACCGCTATATGCATTTGCTTCCTCAAACAATTTGGAGGATGTCTATCGTCCTTATATCTCACAATATGAACTGTCTCAAAAAAAAAAAAAATATGTGCTTATTTTTTTTTTCTTTCATCTGAAAGAAAAAAAATCCTGAATATTATTATCGGAGATAATCATGGATACTTAAAGAATCAAATATCTTTTTCCATAAATTTTTTTCACTTAAAGATTTAAAAATTCGAATATCAAATCTCGATAGATTCACACTTTGAGTCCATGAATAATCTTTGAATGATACGCTACATATATTTACTTCCTTGGTAAATTGGAGGATGTCTATCGTCTATCTCGTTGAACTATTATCTTTTATCTCATAATATAAATTATCTCAAAAATAAAAATTACATACATCAAGTTTAGAAATTTTAACATCGAATCTTGGTAGATTCACACTTGAATCCTGTAATAATGAATAAAAGGATGAGAACATACTTGCTTTTTTATCATCTTAAGAGTGGCCTGCTAACTTTTGAAAAGAGACATAGTTGATAAGAAACAATTATGAGTGATTTGTTTTTATACGTAACTCAATTACTATTTTATATTTCACTTCCAATTTAGTTTATTTTGGCCTTGCTATTCCTTTTGTAGATCAAATTAGATCTTTGAGTGTAAATGGTTGTTGATGGGAAAGTAGGAGGAAAGAGTCCATTTTAAATGACCATCGAGCGAATAAAACCAATGAAAAGAATCATTGCATACTCAAACAAAAGTACAGTAGTTAAAAAAAAAAACATTCTATTATATTTTATTTCTTGATTAATTATCTTTAACATCTTAATCTTTATATTTTTAAAAATTATATTGGATCCCTATATTTATGAAAGTAACTCACGTCATCGATTCCGTTGACGAAAATATCATATATACTCAATGATAAATCAAAATGAGACAGAGTCAATACATGCTCAATGATAAATCTTATAATATTTTTATCAATAAAATCGATAAATATTATTTTATTTTCATAAATATAAAGATCCCAATATATATTTTTAAAAATATAAAAATAATTAATTATATGAGATAATATATAATTAATAATAAAATAGACAATCACGCAACTTTGGTCTTTGAGCACTGGGCATGTTAAGCTGGAAAAGATGCCACTCACCAACCCTAAACCATTCACGTGACTGTCTTATGTTTTTGTTACCGAGAGGACCAAAGTGTTTTTTTATTTTTTGTTACAGCCAGTTTTGAGAACAGTACATCATATTTTCTATTTGCAAGTGACGTTTTTAGTCCCTATGACTCGAACGTGTACACCTAACTCGAGTGAGATCTTTGTTCGGCCAGACGTCTTCTTCTCACCAACCCTCAAAGAAATTTATTATCACTCAGTTTCTGGTCATTACAAGATCTGATGAGTCATGTTAACGTCATAAAGAAAACCCTTTTTTTTCGAAAAATAAATGAAAATGATGAAAATTGATTTCAACAATCTTACTATTTTCTTTAAAAAATCATTAGGTAAAATATGGGGGTTATTATACAGCACTTATATATATATATATATATATATAAAATGAGTACTTTTAATTCGATGCAAAACCCTCATCTCTTCGCTGCCACACTAACCAACCAAATCATGCGGGCACAAACCCTCACATCGTCTCCTATAAATCCGACGCCCTTCCCACACCGTCATTTACGCCATTCTCCCCTACCCCTCGGAAGACTTCTTCCTCATCGTCCTTCTACCCCTTTCCCTCTCCCCGTCCAGCATCTTCGCTTTCCCATTCCGGCCCCGGCTGCAGTACCCATGGAGTCCGTGAGCGAATGGGGACTCTCGCCGCTCTCCGCCGTCGACCCGGAGATCCACGACCTCATCGAACACGAGAAGCGGCGCCAGTCTCACGGCATCGAGCTCATCGCCTCCGAGAACTTCACCTCCTTCGCCGTCATCGAGGCCCTCGGCAGCGCTCTCACTAACAAGTACTCCGAGGGCATGCCTGGCAACCGCTACTACGGCGGCAACGAGCACATCGACGCCATCGAGAACCTCTGCCGTTCCCGCGCCCTCGCCGCCTACCAACTCGACCCCGCCAAGTGGGGCGTCAACGTCCAGCCATACTCTGGCAGTCCTGCCAATTTCGCCGCCTACACCGCCGTCCTCAACCCCCATGACCGCATCATGGGCCTCGACCTTCCCTCCGGCGGACACCTCACTCACGGCTACTACACCTCCGGTGGCAAGAAGATCTCCGCCACCTCCATTTACTTCGAGAGCCTCCCCTACAAGGTCAGCCCCGTGACCGGGTACATCGACTACGACAAGCTCGAGGAGAAAGCCCTCGACTTTCGCCCCAAGCTCATCATCTGCGGTGGCAGTGCCTACCCTAGGGATTGGGACTACGCAAGGTTCAGATCTATCGCCGACAAGTGCGGGGCCTTGTTGCTCTGCGATATGGCTCACATCAGTGGCCTCGTAGCCGCTCAGGTAATGAATGCTGATATTGTTCGTCCTATGTCTTAATTTTTCTCTTAAGATCGGTTTCAATCGAAAAATCAGATCTTGATAACAATTTGGCCTCCGAAAACAGTTCTAATTGATTTCTGCGTTTTGGTCGGATGTGGTCGGTAAGGTAGATCTGATGGATCGGGGAGAATGGTGTTTGGATTGATCGAGTGTTGTTTCGTTCGGTTTTTCACTGAGATTTCTATAGATCCGTCTTCAATGGATGGATCTGGTAGAACCCTTGCATTGTGTGGAATAGATCTACAAGTAGATTGCATTAAACGTACTACCTTTATATGCGCTTTTCAAGAACCTATTCATCAGTTGGCATCTAGATCTGAGGTTTTGAGTATTTGTTGATTGCTTTTGGTCCACGCACATGCTTGCATTATGTGAAATAGATCTACAAGTTCAGATCGCATTAAATATACTAGCTTTATATGCTCTTTTCAAGAACCTATTCATCAATTGGTAACTATATCTAAATTACTATTTGTTGATTGCTTTTATCCAAGACTCATACTTACATTATATGGAATAGATCTACCAGTAAAGATAGCATTACGTATACTAACTCTGTATACTCTTTTTATGAGCCTTCTCATTAGTTGATAACTAGATCTGAATTGGTAATTTTACCAACAGCTAAAATCACTAAATTGGTAAATTTATTATCATTATTGATTGTTGATTGACAATGAAGACAGTTTTTAATAATATAGATGAGATCTTAACGCTTTGATCTTGATACTTTTGCTTTCATCCATATGAGACTGTTGGTAAGAACACATGGACAATTCAGTGCTGATATGTATGTACTCTTAAATTTTGACTTGGTTTTGGTGCTTTGTTGGTTGAGATGCATATTCCTTCATTTTGTAGATGCAACAAAAGATCATGAGTATTAATACATTTTTTTAATTCATTCTTACGGAACAGTCTAGTATTTAGTTGTTTAATAATTCTTATTAGGTTATCTTTCTGATCATTAGGATTGGGCTTTTGCTACACGGGATAATTGAAAGTTAGAATGATGGTGAAGTTGCTTGTTTCAGCGTTTTTTTATTTTTTATTTTTGATGAGAAACTACCTGTTGGCCTGTGTGCATTGACGCACTTTATTGATTAGAATGGTATTCTCCAATGTAGGAAGCTGCAAACCCCTTTGAGTTTTGTGATGTGGTCACTACCACTACTCATAAGAGTCTCAGAGGACCAAGGTCTGGAATGATCTTCTACAGGAAGGGCCCTAAGCCTCCAAAGAAGGGACAGCCAGAAGATGCTGTTTATGATTTCGAGGACAAAATCAACTTTTCAGTGTTTCCAGCTCTCCAAGGTGGTCCTCATAATCATCAGATTGCTGCTTTGGCTGTTGCTTTGAAGCAAGCCATGACACCTGGGTTCAAAGCATATGCCAAGCAGGTCAGGGCCAATGCTGTTGCTCTTGGGAATTATTTAATGAGAAAGGGCTACAAGCTTGTGACAGATGGAACTGAGAATCACCTTGTCCTCTGGGATCTTCGACCTCTTGGCTTGACTGGTACAACCAATTACATTTTTTTTATTGTAGCTTGCTGTTACTTATTTTTCTTAAAATTTTCATCCCTTCACCTTGGATATTTGTAGGAAACAAGGTGGAGAAACTCTGTGATCTTTGCAATATTACTGTTAACAAGAATGCAGTTTTCGGTGACAGCAGTGCACTGGCTCCTGGTGGTGTCCGTATCGGTAAGAACACTGCCTTTTGGAGCATGATTTACTTGCATCAGTTTTTTAATGCCTCTGAAGATGTTGATCTGTGAAATATCTGAAATAATTGCTGGTTTTCAACTTTCAGAGAGATATTTTAGGTTTATTTGGCATCTTCAATATTCTGCAGCATCTGTTCAAAAATCTTCTTAAATATGACATTTCTTACATGAGTAATAAGTTTGACGGCATCAGTTCAAAATGCTGTCATACTTGTTTCTCATGTAAGAAATATCATCTTTGAGTAGATATTAAACAATTTGTAGTTATTACACAGCATTCTTACTTCACCCAAGACTTTCTCCTGTTAGTACTCCTGCAGATAAAATTAGAACTCTGCATTTTGTACCAGGAGCACAACTAACTAGTCGAGTGAACTTATTCCACAAAACTGGTTCACACAATTAAATTCATGTGATGACTCCTGTATATGGTGATGATTCTCTTCCTCAATTAAATCAAAGATAGAATTCTTGGTGTTCAAAACATTATGTAGATAAGACAAAAGGGTCAAATTTTTATCAAGAATTTTAAGATGGTATACATCTTTGCTTATCTGCTTTATTCTTGGGTAAAATGGAAAATAGCAATCAGTGCTTCTTGTATGTTTGATGCAGCCATATGTCAGTTAAAAGCTGGTTTGAGGTTAGATCGATTCTGTCTTGAGTTGATCTAAATGTTTTAATTCTGGAAATTTGTTTTATGGCCTTCATTTGCCACTTTGGCACCAAGTTTTATCAATACAGAAACAAATACATACCTTGTGTGTGGCAAGTGCATATGTAACATCGAATGACAAGACCCTTTAATCTCCATCCCTCTGTCAATTTCTGTGTGATGCCATCCTGATATAATAAGAAAATTTTCATCAGGGTTCCTTTTGAAAATAATATAAGCAGTCGCAACTGTCTAATCTTCTATTAATTCTAGGTCTTGTGTGATTTAAGACCTATTTTATTACTGTTACCTCTGAGCAGCATGAGTCTATGAGAAACTTATCTCTTGTTAGTGCATTTAGATCTGCTTCGGTTATGTCTCATTTTTCAGGCGCTCCTGCCATGACATCACGGGGCTTGGTTGAAAAGGATTTCGAGCAGATTGCTGAGTTCCTTCACCAGGCTGTGACTCTCTGCTTGAGCATTCAGAAGGAGCATGGAAAGCTGCTGAAGGACTTCAATAAAGGTTTGGTGAACAACAAGGACATCGAGGAGCTCAAGGCGGCAGTCGAAAAGTTTTCTGCATTGTTTGACATGCCTGGCTTTCAAATGTCCGCAATGAAGTACAAGGACTAGGACACTAAAATTTGTGTGAGGAGGCGCATGTTCAAGAATCCCTTTTCTTTTGACAAATTTGCTTATTTCATCATACAGTTGAACATTTTGTTTGCCAATCCAAATCTTCTTTGAGATGTACCCATGGAAAGAGCAGCATGTTCCTTATCTGATGCTAGTTGATGTACTCTCAAAATATTTATCCTACCATTTCTTGTGATGCATGTAGTTCTTTTCAGAAATCTATATTATCATTTGTTGTTTGTTACTGTGCTGCCTGTGGTGGTTAATCATAATGCATGTCAGTATTTAAAGACTTACATTATTGTGATGTAGAAATATTATCTTGTTTCCTGGATATTTCAATTTAATTAGAAGTAGAACTTGACCTAATTACCCTGTTATATACCAACCAGTTATAAACCTCATAAGCTTTTCAACCAAACAATCTATGCCGTATAAAAGAATATGGATTTCTGGGATGGTTGCCATAGTCAAAGCAGGTATCCAAGGAATACTTATTTCAATTAACAGCAGCATACCTCAGGAAAAGATTGTGATTTTTATGTCGAGGGATATTGGGAATGAGCCTACTCATTTGGCTTATTTCCGATAAATCCTTGGAACCTCGTGAGTGTTCATCATTAGTTTTTCATTTTTTTCTTTCATATATATTCCTCAAAATGTGCAAAAGAAAGCATGAATCTCACTTTTCAGATCATTAGTATGAATGAAAACTAGCAAGTGGGATGAGATTTCCATCCCATGCGTTGCAAATTGAACACTTCAAATACAAACGACAACATGCCAACAAAGGAAACACTGATTCTGAATGAAAGATGCACATGCACTATTAACTTAAATTTAAGATTTCCACTGCCAAAGAAAATTTTGAGGGAAAACTAGCAGAAGAGAACAGAACCAAATTGAAAAACTAATATTAATATAAATGGTAGCCACGAGAAAATTAGTTGCTTAGGAGTGGCAAAAATATGTTCAAAGATCCAAACAAAATGAACCTTATAGTTTAAAAACCTTGTAATGACTTTGGATTATCCAACTGATTAGGGGGCCTGATGAAAAAAGCTCATTAGTTTTAACTGATGTTGGATCCGTAATGGCTTCCCTGGCCATCATTTGGGTCAATTTGATCAACTCTCCATGATCTGTTATCGACTCCATTTGAAGAGTCTCTCCTGTTTCCGAGGCTGCCGACAAGATCTCATCTGTTATGGAACCTCTCGCTAATTCCATTTTTTTGGTGCCCACCCCCTTCACCGAGGGGGAATCTTCCTCTGTTATTAACTGCAGAACACTAACAGTGAGCACAATATGATGGATGACCATGAAAGTTTCCGGTTTCGTTGGAAAAGGAAGTGCATGCATGATGCTGTCTTTGTGAACCTAGTGGTGGAAGTCTTTGGCAATAATTTGCTTTGTATTCACTAGGTTGTGTACCTAATCGGTTAATCTGCTTGCTGCACTGACATTGTAAGAAATAAAGTCATTTACGGTTAGTTCAAATTCATCAGTTTATTCTTCCTTTTTTCCTCAAGTGATATAATGTCAAACAGTTATCTTCGATAAATAAAACAATTATGAACATAGTCTACATATGCAAATATGTGTATAAAGAGTTATATCAGACTTGCCTCCTGAACCAAATATTCTCTTTTCCTCGATATAGACTGGACAACCAGCTATAAGTATGGGAGAAGCCTGAAATATTAACAATTAATCAACATAAAAGATGCTAATAATCAAAAGCACTAGATGGGACTCACCTGACAATTGTTTAATTTGACCAGCTTCATGTAACCTTATCTGCTTTTATCTTTTTGTTATGATGGTTTTTGAAAAGCATTCTGTACTTGAATTTTCATGGAGACAATATCTAATCATACATGGAAGTACTTCTATGGTCTCAATGGTGTCATCCAAAGAAGGTTCTTGTAATTTGTGAATGTGGGAGTATGCTTAATCTATAGACAGAATTCTATATAAAGTAAATTAATTTTTCAGAAAATTTTTAAATGAAGAATTTCAGCAAAATCTTTCAATTTCATATTTTTACTACATATAAATCCACATAATAGGATTTAGAAGATACAATAACAAAGTGTGTAAAATTACAGTAGAAAATGTACTAGCAGCTTCCATGAATGTAAAGCAAATATCAAGTCCAAAAATCTATCATATATTGTGTTTATATAGAATTTTAAATGAATCACATAGAATACCATAAATAGCCTAGTTGTTGATTCAGTCAGGAATTGAGACTCCAAAAACTAAGTACCAGTGCTATAAAATCTCATGAAAGTAGCAAATACCATTTGATGATATTAAATTTATAAATACCATCTGACTTTGAATCATAAACCATGCGAGGGTCAATACCGAACTAGCATTTAATTTTGGCATAACAAATAGCTACGATGATGGAATGTGAGGAAGAAGTGCTTGAAAGACTACTAGTTAAGTTCTTCTGGGGGTCCCAAGTTTCCTCATTAAATGGGATTTTGAATCTGCACATCTAAACTCCATTCATTTCGGTGGACACACGGGATGCAGTCATTCGACACCTAGGCTCAAAAAGCTAACTCTAGTTGGACAATGGAAGCAACCGAAAACATATGGCTCCCATCACTGTGATCTTTTAGGAGGTCAAAGAAACTCATATTCTCTTCTATTTTCTACTATCCTTCTCTTTTTTCATTTGTAATTCAGGCATCCACCTGAATACCAACATCCCATAAGTTCTATGTCCTCACTTGGCTATTTGCATATAGCAACAACCCTATGGAACAGTAGACTGTGCTCTGTCAAAGTGACTGAGAAATAATGAAGAAAAGCAAAAAAAAAAAGAGTAGAAAAATATAAATAATGTAGTATGCTACAGCATTATAAGAAATGAAAAATAGAACAGCATTCCGAAGAATCAGAAATGAAAATGTAGCATCAACAACATGAGCTATGTATACTCAAACGCCATCAGAAACAAATTAAAGATGCAATGTAAAGGAAGTTATGTTGATAAGAGTAAATGAAACTGACCTCTATTGCACACCGGACAGCACCAGCCAATTTGAACTCCACAAAACCAAAACAAGTGCTTTGTAGCTTCAATTTAAAATGTTTATTATTAGATGATGAGAAACATAGACTGATAGGTATCCTCAAAAAACAATAAGTCATTGAATAACCAAAAACAACCTTGTTGCCTTTAAGTTGTATGCCACCAGCCTTGATAGGACCAAATCTCTTGAACTCCTCCTCAAGTAGAGCATGTGTTGCATCCAAAGGTAAATTTTTCACATATATGGAATGACCATCAGCTGAATTTATTAGAGTGAACAATTTTTAAACAATTATCTCTATAAAGCTAGAAATAGAAAAAGATCTTGATGAAAAAATCACTGTTACATTCTGCCATCTGAATATTCTGCCATCTGGAAGCACTAGAACTGAAAGTAGGCCCATTAGATGCTGGAGGAGCAGAGATTGGATGTTGTTCTGTTTTCACCACTGAAACCCAAGGACGGTCTTTCTTAGCTTTCACCTGTGTCCACCAAGACATACTGAATTTCTATCATACAATCAACGTGCTGGAATATGATATTTCAATCTTTGGACAAAAAATTGTTTTGAGATGGTGGAAACATGTATCTATATGAAACTTCTCACCAAACTAAACATAAAAAGAACATTGATCGAATAAGTCGAGGACATATCTTTTCAAAGTTTAGCAACCATAGGGAATGTCAACGTGACTAGAAGTATTTCTTGCATTCAAGGAATTCCTTCAAACAAACCATTTTAGCGATCAATAATGTAATATATTCTTAAAAACAGTAAGCACCTTTGTGGACACAGATGGGCAGTATGTGTTTCATTAGAAGAGAGAATACCTATCAAGATGTTTAGATCACTTCAAGTTCTCATTGAATTTCAAGATGTTTGTATAACATGACAGTAAGTAGATAACACACATGTATAATAAGTCAAAGACCTAACTACAAGCATATATGATCAATACTTGTGCAACAAAGTCTTCTGGAGACGAGCTCTCATGTCCTACATATGTTCCATTGCATAACCTTAGAGGTTATTTTTCAGGTCCTCAATTTCATTTTTTTAATAAAAAGTAATAACGTAATCATAGGTTTATAATTTATTCAACAGAGGGGTTTTCAGCTTTTTTTAAATGTACATTTAATTTAAAAGATCATTTCTTCTGCATTGGGCATGCTTCCTATTTGATCTGCTTCTCTCTTAGCATTTGTTGTAAGCATAAAAATCATCATTATACTATTATTATGCAAAAAAACTTTAATGTCAAAATCTAAAAACAAATAACAATAGATCTATTTTACGATGCATACTTTTTGATGCCATTCAGAAAGCTTTTATCTGATTTGCGAGCACACTGTCATTGGATCCGAAAGCTACATCAATATCGATCTGTAAGGAGAACTAGACTCGTATTCTCCTTTCTACCTATCCTTCACAGGACCGTTATGAACGATAGATTAAGGACAAATAGATGATGAGAAAATATTTGTACTCTCTCATTGATTAGTTCATGTGACTAAGGGAAGATGAGAGAATATCTGTAATCTCTTAATAATATCACGTATCCTCATCTCATCTTATCCACTTATCTACATATTGCGTGTTTAATCCCTAGGAAACCCTAGGAGGTCCTGTCTATTTATGAGTCTCTCCCATCAAGATCATCTCCTAAGGAATTTTATCATGATTAGACTTCCTTTCTATTGGCGGATAATAGTAATCAGAATCCAATCATAAACATTTCTAAAAAGTAAATTAATTGGATTCTGATTACGATTATCGACCAATAGAAAAAAAGTCCAATTATGATATGATTCCTCAGGAGATGGTCTTGATGGGAGGAACCCTCATAATTACTTATAGAGATTACAGATCTTCTCTCATCATATCTTTGTCTCAAATCCATCGTTAATAACAGTCATGTGAAGGATAAGAAGAGAGAAGAAAACAAATCTAATTCTTCTTAGAGATCGACATCACTATAAATTTCGGATCCGATGATGGTATGCTTGTAAATCAGATAAAAGCTTTCTGAATGATATCGAAAGGTACTCATCATAAAATAAATATATTATTATTTGATTTTAGATCTTGATATCAAAGTTTTCAACATAACAGTAGCATAATAATGATTTTTATACTTACACTTGTATCATCAATCCTACTTTTTTTTACTCAGTTCATGAAAAGAAATCAATTACATCTTAAATAAGAACCCACACCATAGCCTTCGACTTTAAATATTGCACGCCACCAAAAATAGCATAACATAAAGGACAAACGTCCATCAACTAAAATACATTGCAACATTTCAAGATTAAACACTTACTACTGAAGCGTATGTTTTCTTGGCCATTTCCTGTTGAACGCTCGTATCTTTTGATTTAACCCCCACAGCCTGAAAACAATCTGAAACTTCATCAACGACCCCATTACCTGGTTCTTCCTCCTGCAAATTCCAGCTCTCCCCGTTGATCCGAGGATTACAGACTCCACTCGCTTTGACAATGGGCACTGAGACATTTTCTTCTTGTCCTGGAAGGGAATATTCCGATCAGAATCAATACTTAACAAGCCAACCGATTAATTTCAAAAAATATACATGACAATTCAACTAGTATTCACGAAAGAAACCATGCTCGGGCACAACAGGTGAGCTAACACCATTCGTCAAGCCCTTGTTCTCCAATTGAGGAGTGACTTTTCCAGCATGCATAAGTATGTCGTTCAGGACGTAATATCCCCTTTCCTGGGGAGCCAGGAAGAAGGACTGGACGAAATCCCTCTTGACATTGTCCACCCTGGTGAGAAACCCTGTCACTAGGACCATCATCCCACCACCAAAAGAGTCCTGGCTGTGCACCGCTTTGATTTCTAGCGTACAGAAGTCCATCGACATTATCTTCTCGTTGATTGCCTATTACCAATCAATTCAATCAATACAGAGCGAGGATTATGTATACAAGAATCAAACCAAGAGTGCAGATCGAGGAGCCCGTCATCAGAAGGATAATCTGAAACAAGAAACATCTGAACTTCTCAAACACTCACATCGATGGTCGTGATGGAGGTGACGTTGCCATGGTCATCAGCACGGCCAAGCCTGCTACTTTCCTGGTAGAATCGGTGAACCAACTCCGGAGAATTGCGAAGAAAATGATAATACCGATTAACGAACGTTTCACCGACCTAAACCCAGATCCCAAATCAAAGACAGACAGAAACATATATATATACACAAAAAAGAAAACAAAATCCAATCTTTATCATATTGATAAAGGAACAATCCTAAACATAGAGGATAATCTATTACCCTTTGGGCGTAGTATAGAGACTCAGCAGGAGTCGAAGGTTGGGCCTCCATCTCCAGACCGAAAACCGTAGAAAGCGGTGACAGAGTTCTCGGTCACTGTGATTCAAACGCGACCGATTGAAAGAGACGAAACGATCTAGATAAAACTTCCGAGTATAGATGGAGAGAGAGAGCGGGGGGTTTCCTCTTCCTCTAGGGTTTTCGAGCTCCGTAAAAGGAAACCAAAGAGGAGAGGCGACGGAAGTCGAAGCAGGAGTCCCAGCCCGAGCCGTCGTTCACCTTCTAAGGAAGGAAGGAATGGAGCCGACCCCCTTATATAGGCCCCGCATGTTGGAAACCGTCGACGGGCACGTGCCAGGCGTGGGGACTCCCTACCCCCAATAGGCGCAGGGTTCAGGGCATTCGACGCTCTCCAACCAAGCCGGGCCCACGAACCCGACTCCTTCGGGTCAGCTACGTCGCAGAGAACGTGAACCCTGCCGGGCGGCGCACGGTCTTCCGCTCACACGTTCGGGAGACCCGACTTCGCGGTGCAGGCTTCGAAAGGGCGCAGACCACGCGAACGAAGTCATCAGACTCCTGTACGCAAATTGGCGACAGTCGTACTCCGTATGGAGAAAGAAGGGATGCTAAGACTTGTGTGTGAAGCTAAGAAGGATAACCATACACTAAGGTTGCCAAGATATCACGGAGATTACCGTCTTAGAACAGAAGCATGACGGAGATATGACTTTTTTTCTTACAAAAAAAAAACATCCATTAAGATCTTATTACTCTATCAAATGATCTAAAGAGGTAATTTTGAAGAGTGACATAAAGGTTATGGGTGAACGAATCTTCCCAAACAGTTGTAAATATATCTATCTTGAATTTTTTCGATTGTTCAATTGACTATCAGATTACATTCACGAAAATAATATAATATTATAAAAGAATCAATAAGTACTTGATACATTGAGGTTGCTTATCGGAATCGAGGAAGTCAACTAGGATTGAAGAGCAGATAAATCAATCCATAACTTATTACGATTAAAAATTAAAGTAGTAGCATAAATATCCGTTTAAAAGTCAATGTTTATCATTATGAAACTGTACTATAAACTGAGAATATTTGAATACCACCTGGACATGTAAAAGTGAAGTTGACCAAGCAAGAATTATATCCCCCGACAACTTCAACTATATATTATCATAGCACCATTTATGGCTTTTAAACTAGCATGGGCAGAAACCTTAGATGTAGACTTAGCAGAAAGCAAATCCTTCTGAATAACAAGTGGACGATCAATTGAAGCTTGACTTTTATGGAATTAAGAACAGGACATCCCCTCAAAGATTCCAATGGTCATCCGTAAAGAATTTGAGGGCATCTGAATCAGAACTAAGACGAAAACGAAAGATAAAGAAAAGAAGAAAAAAAAAAGGCCGACTTCCATGATTGGAATGAACCAAAGATAAATCTTCTAGGTTTGGTGACATCAGCATGATTAATGCATCTAGTAATTTATAGAAAAGGATCATAAATAGACCATAGAATGGGAATGGACGTTTCCAGTATGACAACTGATGTTTGGGATTAACTCTTCTTATTTATCGATTACTAATTAATTATGATTCCCAATTTGACACTGATAATATCCCTATCTCTTGCTTCTTCCCAACCTAAAAAATGAAATAAAACGACAAATTTGAATGAGAAAAATAGTAGAACGCATCGAGAATATTACATAGATTTAGACCTCGTAGACAGACATTCCACAATATTTTCATCCCCAAAGATATTTTATTCTAAACCTTGCAGTAGACAGTTAATAAATCCCAGTATCTATTTGCAGTATTAAGATGAGGGGTCCTGCATGGTTCAAGAGTTGCAGCATCTCAGCATTAGAACAATGTTGTAGCAGTGAACTGATAGATATGATACAAGCATAGGTTAAATTGTTCATTAATTATGCAACAAATATGGCTCAAGTCAGACCAGTTAGTTCAAACTGTACGTACTTTATATCATATCTATCACAGTATTTTGCTTCAGAGGCTTCAACATCACCATCTGAATGTTCTATGTTCTGTGCTTAAATGCTCTCAGCAGAAAAGGTTGCGGTAGAAAGCTCTCACACAAATTCTTTGTTGACTGTGGCCAACCTGTTTGAAACAATGTGATCAACCATACATCGTAGTAGCGGATCAGTGTTGCCCCCTGAAGCAATTTTAAAGCCTCCTGCTTAAGGCAGAAAAAGGACATCCTGTATCCAGCCAAAAAGGCAAAAAGGGTAATACAAGATTTAATGGAATAAATAAGAAAACCTATTTCCACCAGTGATAGTTTTGTCATCTCCCATCTGTTTAAAGGCTAGTACAAAAACAGATGGGATTACAACGCACAACCCAAGACTAATATAATCTAAGCAAATATAATGAAGATACAAAAAGTGGAACTAGCATTATCGAGGAAGCCATAATAAAACAAAAATACTGAGGAAAACATAGAGAGTGCCCTTTAAATTGCCCGATCAGATGCCAGGCAGCACCAGTAAAAGAAAGGAGCTACCTACCTCTGAGGTCAGATTTCTTCCTACTTTCTGCCACACTCATCTGTCACTCGAGCCAAATTATCAATGTTTAACTGAACACAAAAGGTGCTCAAGAAGCAAGTTCTGAACCTGTAGAATTGCCGCCTTCTCTGTTCAGACTTCCATATGATTGAATATTGGTTAATCCACTTGCATGGGATGGATGAGCAAAAGCTGAACACGCTCTCGCAGACCTTCCGTAGCTATCTAAACCAGAGTTCGGGGCATCTTTTGGATCATTTCACAGTTTGGTCATAAGTGAAATCAAATATATGGTCCATGAAGTTGGTCTCACTCAGTACTTGATGACATAGTGTCGGAGCCAAAGCTCATACATTACCATGTGGAATGCATCATAAGGTACTGGAGGTGAGTGCCATTCAAAGTGCTTCTGAACCTGAAAACAGATTGAATGCATTGGTAAAACAAAAATCAAAACATGAAAGCATTTGGCAGTGTTTGAAATTTGATAAAGCTATTAGAGATAAGCCTTTTAAATAAAGATGTCAAGTTGGTACTTAACAATAACTTTGTCTTTGCTCCATTTGATGGAGTATGTCCACATGCCAATTTCATGAAATTACTGTCAAACTATGTTGAAGATTAAAGATGCTGCAGATAAAAAGTTTTACTTTCCATCAACCAAACTTAAAAATTGATAAGCAGTGGAGAAGATCTATCCACAGTTCACAAGCTACAAAAACAAAAGCAACACTGAGTCAAACTCCATTGTTTTAACTATACTATTTGGATAATTTAAGTGATATAGCGATGCTTTAGAACAAATGCCAACAACAATATATTCACATAAATCAGGTTCCGGTTTTGTCCATGGTGAATTTCCAAGGGTCTACGAGATAATATGGATTTCAGTTATGAAGAAGTCAACATGTTTCCCTTAGATACATGGGCCAATTCTTTTTCATGATATTAACCAAAAAAAATTATTGCTCTTGGGCATATTTTTCTTCCTACTTAACATTTCCTTCATGATACTACTAAATGTCGAAGCCTTAGGATAACACATGGTTTAGGCTTTCAGCTAATTGACACAGTTAAAAGTTCGAACAGCAACGAAGATAAAAAAAATCAGGAAAGAAGTTTCTATCCTCGAACTTCTATTAGGCTCACTATAAGAAAATGTAAACATTTATCATCAAATCAAACATATGATCTACTTAACTATTTTTAGTATCAACAATCCTTCAACTGTAACATGACACAAAATGGTTAGTTGAATCCAAGAAAAATGAATATGATATCTAAAAGAATTAGCATTTTACTCTTTTGAAGGTCCGTGTAAGTTAACAATTTCCCTTGACAGAAATTATAGGAGAAATATTGATGAAGTTTTGTACAGATAGTGAGTTGAAATCAGAAGAAGCAACTTTAATGATGCTTAAAACTGAGCCATTGATGTTCAGACAGATGGGGCACAATCAGTTTAAACAAGATGCACTAATTTATGAAATAACGAAAAGAAAAACTCTATACAGTACAGGTAAAGATGGAGATATTGAGCCTCCTCAAACCCCAGGCCTGTCTCTAAAACAATTCTAGGCTTCAAGGCTGGCGTCGCTTCAAATTTTTGTTAAATGCAAGGCCTGACTTGGCTTGGTAGCCCAAACTCAAAGCTAAACTAGCTCCATTTGCAAATTACAATATATCTAGCATCAAATCGTCATCTGGATTAATAAGATACTAGTTTTGTTTCTGTAAGTAATTAAGTACAAGGAGTCATTGTAAAGAATTAACAAACTCAACAAATATGCTTGTAGCATCTTCTGGTTCAAATTTCTCTGACCCCACTCCACAATAGTCTGACTCCCTTCTCTACATGTTTTGTATAGATACAAGAAGTTATGGTAAAGAACTAACAAACTCAACAAATATAGTTGTAGCATCTTCCGGATCAATTTTTCTCTGACCCCCTCTACAGTATTCTGACTCCCTTCTCAACATGTTTTATATAGATAGCAACAATCTTCTTGTTCTCATTTCCTCATTGCATTGCATCTCTTGCCAGGCTCATGGGAAGATCAGACCTATGACATCCATCTTATATCTTGGCTTGCCTTTCCCAAGCTCCTTTGGTTTATTCCCATTTATCATGTGTCATACTCTCCCTTTCCTCTTCTCCTTTTGCCTTTCTCCTGTAATCTTATATCGAACAGCCTAAACTACTTGATGTCTCACAGTAATTCTTATGTTGTTTGGAAAACAAAGTTGTCAGTCTATGCAACAATACATAGAGAAATGACACTTAAAACATACAGTACATGGATATCTCACGCCACAGTTGGCACCAACCCAACCCACATTAAAACCCATCTTTATTTCAATGTCCTGCATCATAGCACTTAAATTTATATTTCCAAGGTGATTTACCTTGCAATTATGGTCACGCATACATAATAAATTATGTATTTATTATTTAGATACACTAAGGAACATCCTACTTTCACTTCCAAAATCCAGATAGTTCATATATTATGCTAAGTTGATGCATGTTCAAGATCATATCTAATCTTTGTTAAGAAGATTACATAATAAATCTTAGTTTAGGAAGTAATAAACTATTTGCCACATAACAAATATACACTACTCCACCCAAGAATTAGCCAACAAAGAAAAAGAGTCGTCAAGTGCATGAGACTCCACCAATATGAAGTGTTGGAAGAGTGTGTGCATGGTCTTATCATTAAAAGGCACAGAGGTGGTGACTCAAAAGGATTAGCTGATGGACCAAAAAGAAGGGAGGTGGCTTGGTTGAAAGTCCTATGAGGTAGTCCAAAATGAATAACTTAAAAGATTGAAGTGAGAAGAAAAGATGATGTGAAAAAAATTGATAGATCATGGAAATTGAAAAGAATGTAATGTCAGGGAAGCTCTAAGCATTTCCAATGGAATCATTATCACTTTCTCTTCAGGGACACCATGATCAAGAAATGACCACATTATGGTTGTTTCTTCTCCTTGAGGTCACAATTTATGGGCCCATGTGAGCTTAAGTGAGGGAATTACATTCCAACTACAGATCTTTAGTCATCACCTATACCATTAGAAGTTCATGTTACAACTCACAACTGCCTAACCCATAGGCTGATCCTTGGACAATAGTCTCTTTATATCCTCAGGCATTTCTTCATTCAAGGATCCAAAAATCCAACTTAAGCCACTCTTGCACCACAACAACTCCAAGTTACTTAAGACTACTTCAAGGCATTCTTTTTGCAACTTAAGAATCACAAGTTTATGAAATCCTAAATACACCACTAGTTCTTGAACTTTGGGACAAATTCTAATCAGGTCCATCTTCAATTTTTTTCAGTGGACTTTATAATTCCAAATAATGTTCCAATCAAGGCATACTATCAAGACTTGACTTGCCTTGGTGTATAGCACTCATAACACTCAAAAGACTTGACTTGCAAACTCAGCACCTCAACAAAAGAAACTGTCTGACATGTCTAGCATGGTCCAAAAACCAAAATGTAGGGTACACCAGACTTGCCTTGTTTGCCAACAGCTATGGGCACAATGGACAACATCTCTTGCTGACATCTGTACTAGGTGGCAAGTCAAGCCCTAATGTGCAACAATGTCAGATTTCCAAAAAATATGGATGGAAGCCAATTGCAGGATTTGATTGAAACTTGAAAGTTTATACCTTATTAACATTTAGGGTTTCGATTGAACACAACTGAAAATTTCCAAAATTTCAAGGAATAGCAGTGTAATTTACAGATAAAAGTAGGTTTAAGCAGCTTCAAGCCAGTCTTCACACTAGAAATCAAATATGGCATACCTCAACTAAGTGCTTATGCAACTCAATGAACTTTTCATGAGGTATAGACTTCAGAATAGACTTTAGTTGATAGATATCACTCTCCTTGAGTATAACAGAGAACTTCTGCCAGTCAAGGATGTCATTAAACGGCAGGTCATAGTAATTGGACAAAATTACTGCAAAATTAAACCATGGTCAGCAAACTGCAACTATGAAGCAACCAAAAGCTGATAAAAGATTCAAGTGAGCTAGGCCTTTGATAATGTCATAATTGTAAAGTTTCCATCTAACCATGAGTAATTAAATGGTAGGACTCTAACCTGGAATACATCCATAGTGAATGGAGTCTGCTATGCGAGCACTGTTCACTTGAGAACCACCTGGACATATGCAGAACTTTGTCCTGTAGAACCGCTTCTGATAGACTAACTCTCCGATAGCTCTGCTTATGCGATTATTGCTGATGGCAAGTTCTGTGTCATTCTCCCAAACACGAGCTAATATTACTCTTATTTTTGAGTTTCTATGACCTGCCCAAAATCCAAGTATGGTCCTGGTGTTTGGTAAAGATAAAAGGTAAATGAAAGTAAGTTTATAGATTATGAACAAAGTTCCAAGGGAACATCATAGTCATCAGAGAAAAAAAAAAGGTTATGAGACAAAAAGATAATTGTACTATAGGCTAGCACCAATAGAAAGACAAAAATAAACCCCTTACATATATTTGGAATAATAAAAATAATTGAAATTAAATAAATCAATATAAATGTATCATACAACCCATAGATATATCAGCATTGGACATATGTAAAATAGCTGGTTTATGTAGGCTGGTATAAAGCAATGAACCAAATAAAATGATCAAGAAATTAAATCTCTTGCTATAATTGCCATATGACTTATATGACAAAATAACTAATCACATTTGGTTATATCAAACATCAAAGTTCCTTCTGTTTCCATCTCAACAAACACCAACTGATCTTATATCATAATATAATCTTACTCCTATTCTAATAGACGAGAAATCCCAGAATAAAATCCATGCTGCACATTCATCAACTTCTATGGATGTAAAGCTGACCACTTCTCTAGTATCAACTCCAACATCCTTGACCACTTCTCTAGCACGAGCTCCAGCATATTTAATGAAGTGTGAAAAGAACCTTTTAGAAGTTAACAGCAGGCAAATTTGAGGAGATCCATATCTGTTAAAATGTAAACCCAACCCATGACCTTGGTGACAAGAAATCAATTACTTCATGAACTGGCTCAATAAAATGCGCGAGCAAGCAGTTAATTTACATAATTGTCTAATCGATGGAAGATTATGAATACCACATAATCTCTATAAAAGCATGCAAATCATCAAGAAATGTATTAAGGTCTCACATGATAAGACCATGCGACAATACACCATTTATTTAGGTGAGATGCCAAGCCTGCATGAGGGAATGTTCCAAGGTATGCCTGAGATTGATTGTGACAATTTGCATAGCACATGCTATGCATTGCATAATATGGATGCAGATGTGCTTGGGCATCTACGCTTGGCATCCACTAACATGTACACTATGTATATCCTTTAATAACATGCAATTATAGTATTGACTGGGTACTTATCACATCTTAATCTTGAATGGTAAATGAGAAAGATCCCTACAACATCCACTTTCATCAATAGATACAAAATTATTGAAAATATATCAGGCTTCAAATTTAGTATTGGTAGGGTGAAACCAAGCCAGATTTAACCTGTTCTCAATATCATTTCCTCCTGATGGCAGAGCAAATGGCTGCAGTACTTGAGGAAGAGCAACATCCTTGTGCGGAATGTATCCAACATCATAGCTTGGTGAACAAACAACCCGAATTGAATTTTTTATAACCATTTGAAGTCCTTCGAATGCCCTCACACCAACATCATGACAAGTTACAAAAAAGTGATCTGCACCCAAGGTTCTATTCCAATATGGATATTTACCGATCAAGCTTTCAACATAATTTTGTACTATCATGGTCATATTTTCATAGGATGTTCCCTGCAAAATTCAAATCATTTGTACAAGGAAAAAAAAATCAAACAAGTTGCAGTAGAAAGCATTCTTGTTCAGCAAACATAATAAGACGGCCAAATTTCATATAAAATTTTCCAGTGACTGTAAGATCAACCCAAGTAAAACTGATATATAAGACCTATTCATGCTTCTGAGAAATGTTCACTAAAGGTAAACAACTAATGTCCAGTAAAGGTTATCTTTAACTGGGAAACAATTTAAATGTTCAAGTGCAGACTTAGTAAATATGTTTCTGCTTGGCTACTTGCTTACTGTCAGAATGGGAGTGGACATGATGAATGACTCACCCTCCACACCCCCTCCCCCCACCCAACACTACAAAATGGCCATTCTTTCCTTCCTTCCCAGTGGATAGAATAAAATAAAAAAATATTTAATTTGTCACAATTTCCACATTTTAAATAAATAGCTTGATTTCTCAAAAAATTGTAGAGGAATTCTCAAATAGATAAATGAACAAAATATGGCATGAATTTCATGTAGCATATTATATCGTTTGATGCACACAAGGGAATAAAATGACATTTGATCTGTGCACACTTGCTATACTCCACACAGAAATATTGCTGATATGCATCCCATCATTATACGAATTGATCATAGAAGTTAAATGGCAGCCAAGAATTACGCAACTCCAATGAACTTCATGGCTCTTAGGCTTCTCTTAAACTTTCCTTCATATCTAATCGTCCCACCTTAATAATCAGAAACAGGTGCTTGGTTCGAACAGACTTTCAAGTCCATATCAAGCAACACTACTGGCTCTATCAATTGGCTAATCTATGAAATTCTGCTCCTTGGATACAATTCAAATTAGGAATATATACAATCATCATCAATTACATTAGCAAATTCAATCAGCTTCTGAATCAGCTTGATATCTGGATCACACCATGATACTTCCGATACTTGTCAACACAGAATGTTAGTTCATCTAAAATCAAAGAACTTTTATATAACTCAAAGGATCAAACTCAAATTTGTGTACCTCGGGCAAAGTCACCTGCCTTCTCTTTTTAATTCAAAATTTCAATCATCTAAATCTCCATATAGGTAAACCAAATTATGCCATGAATTCTAATAACTACATATAAATCTGTTGGAGAAACAGAGATATTTGTATGCATGCAAGTGAAACAATGCTGGATGAAAATTATCATTATTAATGAAAAATTCGTGGATCTATAAAATGTTAATTTTAAGATAATTTTGCTTTGAGAAAAGTAATAGATGTTAGAAATATGTGCACAAATGAACCAGTAAGTACTAAGCAATGTCAGTTTAAATGTATGTTTCTATATAGGAATTATCATTTAGAACTCCTAACTCATAGCAGAAACTCCTTTCTTCTCTATAGTCACATCTCGGCCTAAACGGCACCCCATTTATGATAGAGTAAGCATCCTTATACATCTAGACTCAAGGCTTATATTCACCAATACTACCTTTACATATCTGGAATTCATAGTTGAAATGGAAAACCAATATTGACTTTCAGCATCACCAAAACTACCATAACTGCTACTAGTATTTTCTCCTCGCCATCCTTCTTTTCTTGTACTACTTGGTCCAAGCGATTGTCAACAACCCCCTTCTCTTTGCATTGCAACTTCTCTAATGAGCTAATCAAATACAAGATGAACCCATGGTTACATCTGATCACACAAGTCTCACATCCTTTATCTTTTAACAAACATTTCCATATTTGGCCAAATTTTAATATAAAATGTGAGAGTGATGCAATACCATTTTGCTTTATTATTATTATTTAATAAATTATACTAGTTTGGGGGGTCTTTTTCAAATGTGATGATTTATCATATGGCATCTTCTAATATTCTATATCAGTTACTAAGATTGCCTAGAAGAAGAAAAAACAAACCAAAAAAAAAGAAAAGGAGATTTATCTTATATTTCATTAGAGACTCTAAAGGAAAAAAAAAAAGAAATGCATCTTGGGCTAGATTGAAGATTTCAAAGGTTGATTAGAGATTTTGTCCTACAGGAAAGATCCATCAATATTAAAGGTACTACAAAAAAAAAAGTCTATCAATCAAATATTTTATAAAGGAATTTTAGTTGTCAAAGTATAGAATAAACCTTTACTAAAGAAGTAAAGATGCAACAATTCATATGCCTTGATTTAATGCATTTTTCTATTTTTGGTAATTTTCTCTTTTTGTACTTGAGTTTTATGATAAGGGAGAAGAGATTGCAGTTGAAGTCTAGAGAATTCATGAATGGAAGTGTGTCTTCCCACAAAATAAATGAGTGGTGTTAGATCATATTTTAATTCACAATGGCATGATCTCATCATCCATGCATGAGATGCACAAAGGTGTGAGACCTTTCATCTCTACAAGTTATTCATTGAGCCAAAGTGAGCTAGAATGAGTCTGGGGTAGCAATTTTATAGTTACTTATCTTCGGGTCATATTTCATGTTCCGCTTCAGTTGTCTGAGTCTCCTGTAAGAGCCAATTTAATTTGAATCTTCAGTCATTTGTCCATAAAGTTTTCTTGGCAGAGATAGAGTCACATCTTGGATTCATACTTTCTGTTCCTTTTCTAGTGCAATTAAGGACAATAGATGATAAAATGATGATGTGACAAAAGTATATCCCTCCAAATCACATAAGAAACCTTGTTCAACTGAAATGATAAAATGATGCAGTAAGTTGGTACTAACCATAGAAACACATAGCTCCGAGTTTAATAACTAAGAAAAGACATAAAACCAAGAAATGACAGGACGAATTACATATTACCCCATGTAGTTAGCTATGTTTAGCATCCTGGTCCCTACACTTTAAAAAGTTATATAGGGATCTCTATACTTACGAAAGTGAAGCATTTAATCTCGTTTCTCATCACACCATCGGCTCTACTGACGAAAGATCCCGTAAGTGTTGTCACTGGCATTAAAAAAAAAGAATAAAAATATAATTTCATAGTTGCTATTCTCACGTCCAAAGAAAATGCATACACTCAAGCTGCCTTTCTCCGCCTCTTCGAGCTCTTCAAGGATGTTGATAATGATGGTTTCCCCTCGAATGAAGTCGGGGAGCTCGAAGAGGACTAGGTGTACGAGGTGAGGGAGGTCCGACACGATAAAGGGCTCGTTGTCGTCGGAGGTGGCCAGGTGGAGTCTGTTATGGATGACGGAGCCCATGACGTAGATAGGGAAGAAGCCCAGTGCCTGGAAGGCGATGAGCGGGACGCTAAGATCATAAGCGATGCAGGTGATCCTAATCGAAGACGAGACTGAAGAAGTTGGTGGTCATCCATCACGCAATCCCCGTGTGATTAAAGAAATGGATGTGCTTTGCAGGTTTAGCACCATAAATACCATTAAATGAGTGGTTTCGTGTTCCACCTGGGAAGCATGTGATGGATTCCGTAGCCTCGGAGAACAATGCCAGGCCGATCCGTATTTTCTTCATCCCCTCCTTCGCCACTGGCCACATGATCCCCTTGGTCAACATTGCCCGCCTCTTCGTAGCCTGGGGCATCGACTCCACCATCCTCATCACCCCTGCCAACACCACCGTCGACGACGTTGTCGCCCCCGACCTCCCTACCCCTTCCCTTCCTCCGAGTGCAGCCTTCCCCCGAGCATCGAGAACATCAACGCCCTGCCTCCCTTTGATTCCTACAAGATCGACGTCGCTACCCCCTTCGCACGCCCCGAACACGAGCGCCTCCACCGCCCTGACGTTGTCATCGTTGACACCCACTTCACCTGGACCACCTACATCACTCACGATCTTAGCATCTCGCTCATCGCCTTCTAAGCGTTGGGCCTCTTCCCTGTATGCATCATGGGCTCCGTCTTCCGCAACAGACCCCACCTGGCCACCTTCGGCAACAAGTCCTTCCTGATGCCAGATCTCCCTCACCTTGTGCACCTAGTCCTCTTCAAGCTCCCCGACTTCATTCGAGGGGAAACCGTCATTACCGACATCTTTGAAGAGCTCGAAGAGACGAAGAAAGGCAGCTTGGGTGTAAGCATTTTCTTTGGATGGTGAGAATAACAACTACAAAATTATAATTTTATCCCTTTTTTAAAATAATTTTCTGCGTGTGACAGCATGTGCAGTATCTTCCGTCAGTAGAGTCGACGACGTAAAAAGAAATATGGTTAAATATTTTACTTTCGTAAGTACAGATATCTCAATGTAACTTTTTAAAATATAAGAATTAGGATAGTAAACATAGCTAACTACGGGGGTAATATGTAATTAGCTTGAAATCACACCATGACTAACCTTTCCCCTCATCTTATGGCACGATATGGGTACGAAGAACAAGTCTGCCTGATCCGGATCCTCCGTACGGAACCGGCTTTCCCTGATATTCTGAAAGAAGTAGCCCTCGCTGGCGTACTTGCCGGTCAGTTTCCTCGGCGTCTGGAAGTACGTATTCGGATCCCCATCTGGGTAAATGAACACCTTCAATTTTCCCTCCATCTCGGCGTAGCTTTTGAAGAAGACCTCCGGGGAGTGGTAGATCGAGGAAGAAGACAATCCCGGGCTCGCCAGATCGCGGGAAACTTCGGCCACGGCCATCTTTAACATCAAGAATCGACGACATTGTAAGAAACCAAGAAGACAAAAGGTGAATCTGAAACAGAATAGAGATCGTTTGTTGTGGTTCTTCCCAGTACCTTAGGGGAGGAAAATTGGGGAGGGGAGCGGAGCGATCTGAGGGAGAGGAGGGCGAAACAGATCAGGGCTAGGACAGCGACGGCGAGGAGAGAGTGCCGGATGGAGCAGGCTGGCGCGAAAGCTGAGTGTTGTGGCTTCCCGGCCATCGTTGCTGGTGAGTTCTCGGCGGATCGATCGGGCGGCGGGAGCGATCAGCTGGATGCCCACATCAAAAATTAAACAACAGATCAAACATATACTCTTAGGGTTAATTATTGTCACATCAAATAATCTCCCAAGTCAATTGCAATCACCATATCAGAATCATTAATTATTAAGATTAATTATTCATATGCCAAGGGTAATTATATATTATGATTATAATTAATTATATTTATGAAAATAAAATATTTAATCTTATTAACTTTATTGACGGAAAAAATTATATGTGTTGTCAATGGAAATGAAAAAGAATACAAATATAATTTTATTATCTCTTAAATTATTAATTTATATAAACTTTTCTCCTCTTTCCTACTCGCCCCGTCGCACCCGCTCATTCATTAATATGTTCACTACCATATGTAATTCCTCCTTCCCAATGCCCATCGCTCAACGTCTTATCACGTCAACATGGAGAGTATCGCTTTCCGACGAAAACACATGAGCCAAGATTCCCAGCACCCCCGTCAAAGGGCTGAGGAATTAAAGATTTTATTTTGATAAGTGTAGGGATCAATATTAGTCTTTAAAGTATAAGGATCAAGATATTAATTATTAATTATTAAGATTAATTATTCACACACCAACTTAAATATATATATTGACGTTATTACAAATTCTAATACATTTATTACTTTCCAATTCCGTTAGATTAAATTCCAACCATTGCTGCCGCCATCAAATATCAACATTACCTCCGTTATCATCACGCTTCCTTTCCAAGTTCGATATCAACATCACGGTTGTCTAAGCTTGCATATGCTGCTATCTTATCTTCCAACGGTGGCTAAGAAGGGATGTTGACCGTGAAGAACCGTGAGGTACAAAGAACGAAGAATAAAGAACAAGACAATACTAATTATATATATATATATATATATATATATAATTGATAAATTTGTTTAAATATATGTATATATTTAATATTTATATTAAATATATGGCTGAGGTTCGATCTTGAAGGTACAGATCGAGGCCTATGCTAGGATGGATGAGGTGGCTCGAGCGGAGGTGGTAGGTAGACTCTCGATGCGTTATTAGTTCACAATGTCTCTACGGGAGGAAATTCGGGGTTGTCTCGAGGTGCGACTTGTATATTGAATGAAGTTTAGGATTATCACAGGGGGTGCCTTGGTCTTATCCAAAAATACTTAGCGTCACTCTGAGGTACTCCTTAGATGCGCTTGGGCCTCGTACAAACGATCGACATCGAGGGGATATCTCGACCTGACCCTTTCGACGCTCAAGGTAATAATGTAGGTGGAGAGGGTTTAGTAGAGCTAAGAAGAATTGAGATAAAGTCTGCTTGCCCCCATTTGGCTTGGGGGCTTGGGTTTTATACTTGAGCGATTGGTGGCGTGAGGCCAACAATAGGTTAGGATGTCCCTCATCCTATCAGAAGATCATTAATGATGGTAGCTGACGAGTGCATTCTCTGAATGATGGCATCATAATAGGACGCTCATGATGATATGCTTTGTCAGTACTTTTGGCCTCCCTGGAATAGATAGGGGATGACTCTTGTGTCGTTCATCCGAAAGATAGGGCTGAGGAACTTGCACCATGTCACTTAGCTGCAATGGGTGCGCACAGACCTTCCCTCAGTTGCAGTTGAGGTGGCATGGGATGAGTCTGCAACACTTTTATTTTTCCTATCAAAAAGGTACATGATATTTACCTAAGCAATTGGACGAGGCCTGACCATATATTTTATCAGCTCAACACGATCGTCAGATCTTATATTATGAGGATCAGCATGTGGTGCCACGAAGGTCAACTCGACCTTAAACGTCGATCGGCTATCCTTAGTAAATCAGTATCTCATGCCCACGCTATCCGATGATTCAATGTGCAACTTTATAATTCAATGATGCATAACCATGAGTTAATTATCATCTCACTCGATTACCCAACATATTATAAAAAAGTTTCCTATTACTATCGTTCATAGAATTGAATGTTGGACCTATGTTGAATCCGAGTGCCATACATGTCGGACAACTATAAAAATGATTTATTAGTCTCAAAATAAAAGTTTTGGATTCAAATCCTTATATATAATGTTTATAATATCAAATGATATGTATTAATATTAATATATAAAGTTTTGGGACAATATATAAAAGTTTTGGATAAACTAAATAATATGGAGTACATCGTTAACTAATCCTCATCCAACACATAAGCATTGCATGATGTTTAGGGTGAAAGGAGTAAAAAGAAGATCACTCTCCACCCATTATCTACCCACCCAGATGGGGAATGTTCCAAGATAGGTGATTATGAGTTGCTCTCTCATTTGTCATCCATGCCGATAAGAGACCAATGAGAGGTTGTTGGAGGTAGTTAGAGACTGCCTCTCTCACATAATATTTTATGAAATATTTAACTAATTTATGATAAGTATAAAAATTCACATTTAATATAATAAAAAGAAATTAAATTTTTTAAACTACTCGTATATATACTTATTTATATATTTTAATTTACTAACTTGGGTATCAGATGGGTCGAGCCAGAAAACCTCTTCCGACTTTTTTGTCTTCATGAATATGGTACCTCAAGAGATTAGACTCGGACCATATAAATCTCATAAACTATGGAAATCGGTATTTGAAACCTTAGACTCGGGTTTTGCCCAAATAAAGTTGGGCGTGAGTTAGCTCTTAGCTACGCATTTGGGTGCGCGTCAGATAAGGGTGGGGGGTCCCTTCGGGCTTAGGGAGGGAAAGGTAGTTGGGTTGGACGTTATTCTCACGCCTTGGGGAAAGGTAGCTCTCTTAATTTAGCCCTTTATTTTGCTCTCCCCAATCCAACCACCCCGCCGTCGGTGCCCGTCGCCTCACCCAAACCTAAACCCATGTCGTAATCCCCATAATACCCCCGTCTTTCCCATTTTCTTCCCAAAACGCCTCTCGTTCTTGCTGGGTTTCCGAGTCTGCCCCCTCCTCCTTTTGCCCTCCGTTGGATTCAACTCTTCTTTGATGCGATTTGTCCTCCGGATTTTTTCCAAAAAGAAAATTTATATTAAATTTTAATTAAAAAAATGAAAGCCTTCCAAAAATTATTATTTTCATATTCAGGACAATTTGTAATCGTTTACTATTTTTTATTATTTGGAATTAGTGAAAGGTTATTCCGTTTGCATCAACCATCTTTATATTTATACTCGAATAACAAAACTAAATTATATTTCTCATAAAAGATGAAGGACTTTCTTTGATAGAATATATAATTTTTTAAAATATAAATAATAATAAAAATTTATAGAGACATCAAATAGTGAGGATTTGCTCTTAATTTAAAAATAAATCGTCCGATTAGTACCATGATCAGTCTAAGATTTTGCTTTCGTCTAAACTAAATATGATCGATCAAAATGAATCAACTTCTTTAAAAACAATTTTAGATAATTATCAAAATTAAATTATTTTTAAAGTAAGAACTCGATATAATTCTTTCTAGACTTTTATTTCTAAAAGATAATTTAAATGAGACTTCCAACATTGTTATGGTAATTTTGAGAAATATAAATTAATTTATATTTATAATTAAGATGAAAACATATTTCCTGGATTTTTATTTTTTAGAAATAAAAAAAGTGAATTTTATGTACTGAACCAACCATGGAAAAACTTGTTTTGGTAATTTCACCGATACTTCGAACGATGGGGTTAAACACCAAAATGATTAAGGATACGGCGGTAATTTCACCGAGTAATAGAAGGAGACACACACAGCATACGTTCCCCATCCCTTCAATGCCTTCACAAGGGAGACGAAACCAAACAGAGATCGAAGTCGAAGACGAAGAATAAGAAGAAAGGTGGTGGATGCGGGCCGAGCCTCCCTCTCCGCCACCTTTTCTAGGTCTCTCCCTCGATCCCGCCGCAGCGTCGTGATCTCTTCCGGCCTCGACGCCGTGGACGGCATCAACCGGTACGAAGCCATCGTCCTCCCTTTCTTGGACTCCGATGTTTGTTTTCATGTCTGTACATGGTGAGTCGACGGGTTGGATTTCGGGTTCCGTTCTTGATGGGTTGGCGGCCACCTTGGCTCGTGGTTTTGCGCCATCGGGGCTCGTGGGGCGTAAGGTGGTGGATGGAGGCTGGTGAATCGGATTGCGGAGGAAGTCTATGGGCATCTGGTTAGAGGTGGTGGGTGGCAACTTGGATGGTGACTTGGGATGTTTTTCTGGAAATCCAAGTGACTGATGTATTCAGAAAGTATTAATTTGTGACTTGTGTGCTGAGGAAGTTTGTATTGTGAGGAAAAGGACTCCTTCTTGGGTTAATTGTGGATTTTGTTGGTCGTCACCCTGATAAATTTCTGTTAGGGGCGTTTACCGTTAATCTTGCTTGGATGGATGATGGTAATGCCATTCGTTGACTAGCACTTGTTCTGTAATGCGAGTTAGAATGATATTTGACTCAAGAGTTCAGGTGTCAACAGGATGCGAACATCCTTGTGGTGGGCAAATCAGTTTCAAAGAGCTCGTTTATCTGTTACCTTGATGTCTTTTCCTTGGTTCAAAATTTTTATTATTTTTCTGCTTAATTTGAACCTTGCAACTGAATAGTACCTTCATAGTCCTTTTTTTTCGATTATATGATGATAGTATGAGCAGGCAAGCCAACATTGATTCGCTTTGGACTGCCCTCTGAATGTACAACTTCCTAGTGCTGTCTCCATGCACATTGGTCTTCCAAAGACTGTATCATCCACAACCTGTTTCTGGCTACTGATAACTTCTGAGATTTTATGGGAAACTTATTTGCACTTATCCACCTATTCACCGAAGTCCCCATTTGATCTCCTTGATTGCATCTAAAACCTAGGCTTGATAGTTACAATAATGTACTAGGTGTATTTGAATGAGGAATGATTCAACAGTTTACTCCTCAAATTGATTTAAGTAAAATAATTCTGAATAAGGCTCGTTAAGAGTTGTTTACATAATTGATCGTCACTCCTATTTTTCAAATCACCTTTGTTTCCGTTTGGTACATACCAT